GCCGGCTCCCGGCGGCGGCCGTGGCCGGGCCCCCTCAGCGGGCGGCGCGGTGCCTGACGGGGGTTAACGGTCCCCGAGGAGCCGAGCTGCTCCGTGCCCCGCCGCAGGCCGCCGTGCCGGGGGCAGGAAGGCGGGCGGGCCCCGGGGGTCGCCATCTTTCCATGGCGCTTGCTGGGCGGAAAGCGAGGGGTTTTAGCCAAACGGTGCAAGGAACGCTCAGCGTTTATTGAATACAGATGCTAAGTCTACACGAAGTACGCGCGGGACAGTTTGTCTCAGGTTTAGCGTTATTTCTTCGCTAATGCTCCAAAACATCAGTCAGCAACAGTTTACTGGTTGAACGCTGCAGCATTTTAGTCAGAAGCCGCGGTAACCTAAGTCTAGCCACTGCAGCTAATAGTTAAAAAGTAAATCTTTCACCCACAAAGTGCCTTTTCATCGTGGTTATCATTTAATCATTGACGGGTTGTGTCGGTTAATCCTTAGTGGCTGGCTTCTCTTCCTTCTTGCATTTAATCCCGAAGAAACTGAAAAGTTTCATTAACATGAGATCAACAATCTCCTCTTCTTCTGAAGCCTAAAATAACAAGAAGCAGGACGTTACTGGGATGCGCAGACCAGGAGCGGATTCAGTCTCTGCTGAAGCCAGAGAAAGTCGCAAGAAAAAACTCTCTGCTTGAGGTGAAATAAGCCAACTTTCACTCTAAGCAGAGCATGAGTAACTGCCAAAACAAAACAACGTGCAAGTATTTTTATCAAGACAAAGGTCCCAGATGAGCGTGGACATTATAGATGAAATTTTGGCTCTGTCAAAACCCATGGAAATCTTGCTACAGGAGCCTGGAGTTCACCTGCCAGCTACTAAACAGCTAGTGGTATATACAAGGAGCCACCCACCATTTCTAGATTAAGTCAATGAGAAAAACTAAATGTATCTTGTTTTCTATTGACCATATCCTTTGTTTTCATCTCCCTTGACTTTATTTAAAATGTAGAGGAAGTTTGGACAGTGCTGGAGTACTAATCTGGTTTTCACACCATGCTATCAATAGCTGGAATGGGTCAGGCACTCACGGCAGCATTTTTAAAAGGAGCTGGAAAGCCCTCATGGGCTTTAGTAGCAGTTTGGGCACTGATTTCAATGGAGCTGGGACATGAGCCTAAGACTTTTTTCCTGGATTTAGTATGTGAACAGAAGGCTACAAATCAGATCTTGTACTAAATCTGATCAGGGACTCGTCTGAACAGGAATGGACAGCGTAAATCTGGAAAATCTGAAGTGTGCTTGATGAGTCGATGTTGATTTCTTAAGAGTTGGACTGAGTTTACGTGGGTTTCATCCAATGGTAGAATACCTAAATCATGAGTAAGCACTGCACAACAAATGTTAAAAACAGCAGGAGAGCTTAGACGAACACACCTGGTAGTGCTTCTGCTCCTCGCTAAAAGCAACCAGAATCACCGAAATGAACAGATTCAGTACCACAAATGTCATGAAAATTATGCAGGATCCAATTAAGAAGGAGCCTAAAATTGGGTTGTAGTCCAAGACCTGTAGTGTTAATAAGGTAAGACATCATATTTCGATTGAATTAAAAAAAAAAAAAAGCATACTACAAGCAGTTAACAGACAATGAGTGTGTCTCTCTGAAAATCCTTGTGGCTAATGAATTATGCTATATATATATTATATATATATATAAATTTTCTCCTTTAGTCGCCTTCCTACATTGATGTGATATAGTGCAGAGATGATAGAATATTTTATATACGTGATATATGAATATGGGCAATCTTTGGGGCTTTTTAAGTGTTTGCATTTGAATGTAATGGCATGAAAGTTTCACGTGAAAGTTGACAAGCCTGGAGATCTGTTTATCCACAGAACAGCTGAAGGTCCATCATGCCTCAGCTTTCAAAGTACAGATGAAATCTCTGTGTGCTTTTATTTAATAGTGTCTTTACAAAGAAGCCCAGTCAGACTGTCATGGACACATACCAACTAAGGGTTGTGCAGAAATCCAAACCCTTCATTTTCATGTAAGCTATAATGTAGGAATATATTTTCATGATTAACAGTAGACGTGAAAATCTTTATGCCCAATTACTGATCTTCAGAGCTACCCGTTCCATGTTGGGGTATGGGATCCATAGTCTAAAAACATCTACCAAGGAGGGCTTCACAGTCAGACATGTCTGAGGACTAGCTTA